CACAAATATATTATGTACAAGTCCTAGTCTTTTCTGCTACAATAATGTGTAAAGTTAATATAGTAGTATACAGAATTATTGTGACAATATAGTTCATATCTGTTTTATTTAAGTGGAAGTTTAATTCATTTATTTTTACATTTATAAATGGTCTCGTAGTTTCCAGACCGTTTTTCAAGGACTTCGATGTTTCTCCCCGTTAATATTAATTGCTGCTACATCAATGGTAACACAGTAGTTTCTTGATGAAGCTAAGGAAAAACGGGGCGGTGCAAGTGTAGTAGAACATTTGTTGGATCAACACTCGTTATTTCGTTAGTTTTAAAGCAATATTGAAGCGGACAAACTGAGCTTATTCACAAAATAGTTAATAATTTATACAAAAATACTTATGTTTTATAACTTTAAGGGTTGGCCGGTATCTATAGCGGTACACTGTCGAATTATGTCAAATCAAATATCACGAAGATAAATCAAGACCGTACTACCAACATTTTATATGTATTACACATTTTTGGTCACTAATTCTCCCAAATTCTATAGATACAACTGATACGAGTATCTACATTTATTTGCGTTCATCAACCACTTCTTTCTGGTGAATGAACATAATAACGATCTTTAAATAATGTGTCGTGCGCTTGTATTCGAAATAGATCAAACTCAAAAAAATACCAATTATAGATGAGCGACAATAACTCAAACACGGATATCTCTAAATCTTAATACCTAGAAATTATCCTTCTCCATTCATTGTATAAATGGGTTCTGATACTCAAACCTAGATATGTTGAAATAAATAGAAACTTCGAAAAATATAATAATTTTTTTAAAGGGGTTCCTAAATTTCGAAATATTGAGTTTACACTGTACAAAGAATACTTCGTCAGAGTAGCCGCGTTCCTACACGCACATATTCAATGGTTTCCCTTAGAAAGCCCGTAGTTCTCATACACTGCCACATCGGCGAGCAGAAGACCTTCCTAGGTCAACGCTCGGCGGCGGCCGCCGGCGGAGGTCAGAGGTCGCCAGAGAGAAGAGCTGCGTGGCTGGCGGGTGCTCGCGGGGCGATTTCTCGGCCTGAGCTACCCCTCCGCCGCTGTTGGGCGGTGCGGTCGAAGTGCGAATCGAAAGACGATAGCCGCCTGCCAAGGCGATACCCCGGGGGAGATGGTATCGCGAAGCGCCACGTTGGACAGACAGATGACCGCTTCGCGGGTGGGCGATGGCATGTGTACTGCGGGGACAGCTACGAATGGCCCTTGCAACTTAATACGTTGAAGACGTGACGTCACACGTTCAGCAATGTTATCGTTTAAAAGGATCACTAAAACAAAGGGATTGTTTACTGATCGTATATCTTTTGGGAAGAGGTTGTTTCGGGTTCCTAAAATTAATAATAAACTTTCTTCTTGAGCAGAGGAAATATGTAATAACACAAAGTTACTTGTAGAAGTGGATGTTTTTATATGTCCTCGCTTCCTTATTTGCGCTTTTAGTGCCATGTTAGTTTATTGTCATGAGCACACAATACGATGTTTTAAAGTTTAATGTGTGGAGTCGAGTGTAATGGAGAGGGAGGGAGGGAGAGAGAGAGAGAGAGAGAGAGAGAGAGAGAGAGAGAGAGAGAGAGACAGAGAGAGAGAGAGAGGGAGGATAGAGAAGACAAGACAAATAAGAAAAAGAAGGCGAGGTCATCATATACTACGATTACATCAGACCTGCGGTCAGGGTTGGCGACGATCACCATTTGCAACTTTTATGATAACTTCTCCAATTCGCTGAAGCGACGAAGCGTAAATATGTTGTCGGTAATCAATAATGAAATTATCAAAACCTTATTTTTTACTTCATTGCAACTAATGTATTCGATACAAAACAAAATTAGTGATGTTAGAACGCAGTTTCGTTGATGAAAATTAATTTAAAAAACATTTTTAGATAAACTATTACGTTTCATCAATTACATCTTTGAAATTAATAAATGTTGCGATCTTAACGCACCTTCTACGAGCTACGCCACGATCGTAAACACATTTGGAAAGATACTCGCAGTCTACTTCCTTCCACAGACCACAACAAGTCGCCGCTGAACCACACACTCACGGCGCGACTGGTAAGAGTACAACCCCTGCTTCATTCTCCGTCAGAGAGCAACGACACGAAAGAGAGCGCGCTCTCTGCGGCGCGGCGCGTAGCGTTTCTGCGCAGCTTCTGCGCTTTTTCCGCGGGGGCCGGCCAAAACGGACACATTCTTCTCCATCGCCGAGGTCCTGAACCCTCGCGGGACACAGCGCATGGTTGTGTTTCCTCCTTTAAATGCTGTCTCGTCTCGTCTCGTCCCGCCCCGTCCCGTCCTGTTCCGGCGAGCGACGTGTCAACACGCGCGTCGTCTACTCGGCCGACCGGTTCTGCGCGGCCGCGCTGCGCAGCGGGCACGAACCCGGGCGGCCGACCGATCGCTGCGCGAGGAACGCAGCGATCTGCGCGTGACGCCCCACTCGATTCGCATTCTGCGCGCGGTACGGGCGTTCGCGAAACAGCCCAAGAGCTTCGACCTGCTACGGAGCCTCCAGAGAAAGAAAACAAGAAAACAAAAACGTCAATGCGGAAGTAATGAATGAGGTGATTTGAAATCGGAATGAAACCTGAGAATATGCAGATATCTCAGAAATAAATGTTACAGATTTTTAGGCTACGTCGAGGGATACAGTATAATAACTTTTTGTCAAATAAAATGCAAATGTGGTGGGATATTTCATGTAACGAAGTTACATTGTGACGTTGCCCCTACTTGCTAGGCAACTTTTGATACAATGGTGTTTGGCTGGCATACGAAATCTGTTAGCGCCACAACCTGTCCTGCCGAACTCCAGTGCTTGACGAATTACCTAACAATGTCCAACTTCGTCATCATTAATTTCCCATCACATCTGTTTAGTTGTAAGTTTTGTCATGCCAAACTCAGCTTGAAATAGTGGCCGCCCGTACAAATCGTGTGCGGTTTGTTGAGCTTACCCCCGCGGGGGCGCGCCCAACAACCTACGGGGTCCGTAGTTTACAGAGTAGCTTTCAGGATAGCAAGTTTACAGGATAGCGCCGAGTGCCGGTCTTTTGGGATAAGGGTTTACTGTCGACAGTTTATATAATTGCGTCCACCTTTCCTCTCATGCGTGCACTTTTTTCTCCAATACGATGTATGACTAATTACGGCGATAATAAATTTTTGATAAATATGTTTTGAATTTGTTAACACGGTAGAAATGCGAATTTCGTGAGACAATGTATGGGTTTTCAGAATAATGTGTGAAATCAATGATTCAATAAATTTACAGAAAATATAATAAACATTTTTTTGCAAATAAAATATAACACAATTAAAATTGTGATGATGTAATGGCGCTCCTTAAAAATGCTAGAGTCCCTCCCATACTAGAGTCAATTTCTCATTTCATTCCTTACACGCATTGCAGTGCTATTTATGACGGTCACAAATGATGGAGCATTTTCTACCTACGCGCGCAAATAAAAGATAACATTCTTTGGATTAAATTAAGAGAACTTTGTTGACTCGAGAATTCACTTGACGTAGATGCTGTGTAATCAGACACATTACAGACTGATCTATATATTGCTCTGGATTTATTGTTTGTTGTAATTGTAGGGGAGGCGATGATGTTCTGTTGCAGGTAAATAAGTGCACAGTTCATAAAAGACACTGAGCTAGATCATAAAAAATCAACTAGAAGCCGCTGCGTAACTTTAAGTAATGTTAAAAAAAGAATAAATATGATTACAAAAAATTAAATATACCTATTCAAATTGCATAAAATTTGAATTAATAGATTATTTTATTACAATACCTCTTCATTTTTATCAGTAGACTTTTTATAACTCACGAAGAATAAATTATTTTTCTCACGTTCTCAAATTATCTTCTGATAATATGTCAATATGAACGTCGAATATTTAAATATGTATTTATTTGTTATAACAAATAAACTAACCATGAAACGCTTCCGCAACAAATTATGCAAGCGATAATATATTATTCGCTACAATAAGATCTCTTGTTAGCAACAATAAAATATTTTCGGTTAAATTTTGCGGCATGTGCCTCATCTCTGGTTAATCGCTAAAATCTCTTCAACATAGTGAGAAAAGGTTTGATAATCCTTAAAATGAAAACACATCGTAGTATCTTAGACCACAGCTTCCTTCCTGGGATTTGTAGAAAGCTCTCTGACATACACTGCAAAATGTGAATATGATGTAAATCTGCGTACAACAACAACAACAACAATAATAATAATAATAATAATAATAATAATAATAATAATAATAATAATAATAATAATAATAATCAATACTGTATCGTTCTTACTTGCTATCCACATGCAAAAAAGTCATCAGACCGAATAAAAACATCGAGGGAAAGGCATTGAGCCCACGAGATGTCAAAACCATCGGGCGATTTGTGTGCTCTAAAAACAATGTCCGTTTCATTTTTAATTTCTGATAATTACTTCAGCAACACGTTTAGGAATCTCAGCGAAAGAAGCGGGAGCTTTGACTGAGATGTTAACCTGCCTTCGGTCAGAATATCTAGCATACGAACATTTTC